TTAGCCAGGATGGTCTCGATCTCCTGACCTTGTGATCTGCCCACCTCGGCCTCCCAAAGTGCTGGGATTACAGGCGTGAGCCACCGTGCCCGGCCCCCGTTTGTTTGTTTTTTATAGACAGGGTCTAGCTCTACTGCTCAACCTGGAGTGTGATGGCGTGATCGCAGCGCACTGCAGCCTCAAACTCCCAGGCTCAAGGGATCCTCCTGCCTCAGCCTCCTGAATAGCTGGGACTACAGGCACATGTCACCACCCTCAGCTATTGTGAGTGTGTGTGTGTGTGTGTGTGTGTGTGTAGACAGGGTCTCACTATGTTGCCCAGGCTGGTCTCAAACTCCTGGGCCTAAGTTATTCTCACACCTTGGCCTCCAAAAGTATTGGAATTACAGATTTAAGTCACCACACCTGGCCATGTTGGATTTTCACTTAACTTGAGCATGTTTGATATTCATAACTTCTAACCCCACTCTCCTCTTCTATGTGTGGGGTGCTTTGTGTTATCATCTCTATATACATATTTTGTGCTTGTCACTTATGATTTTCATTCTAACTCCACAGGTTTTTTTTTTCCAATTTGTCACAATCACTGAAATAATTTATGTATATCTCATGTAGTGGCCGCCTAATTTGGAATGACTTATAAACTGTTAGTATATGTTTGAAGCAGTTTTTATGGAACACTAATGATTTGCATTGAGCCAAAGTCATTGGCCTGAGGATATCTCCTCAGACAGAGCATGGTAAAAATCAAGGTCATGAGTCTGTGGTGGTTGGTGGTGATCAACAGCATTCCTGTGCAATGGGGTTTAGTGGGAGAGAAACTGAGGTTTTAAAGACAGGCATAGATAGACAGAAGAGAAGTGATCCCTGATGTACCTCTTCACTTCCTATGTATCAATTCCTCCCTGGTTTTGTGAGACTGAGATAGGGAGACTCTTATGGAATATCTGTCCTTTCCCTTCAGCTGCCTGACTTTCCTGGGCTACTGGCCTACACATGTATAACCATGGTCACCTCCACATTCATGACAAACAGAAGGAAGCAGGACCAACAAACTGCATACCCTACATGCTAACCTGAAACTATAGTGTGTGATAGTATTAGTTTTGAGATATATCAGAAACTATATTATTTTAGTCCTTTTAAATTTATTAAGATTTATTTTAAGGGCTAGCATATGCTCTATTCTATAGAACGTCCCATGTGTACTTGAGAAGAAGTGTATTCTGTTTTGTTGAATGGAGTATTCTATAGCTGTCTGGTAGGTTATATTGTTTAAATCTTTTATTTCTTTATTGATCTTCTGCCTAGTTGCTCTATCCATTATTGAAAGTTGTGGTATTAAAGTCTCCATCTACTGTTGTTAAATTGTTTATTTCTCCCTTCTGTTTAGTCAGCTTTTGCTTCCTGTGTTTCCAGGCTCTGTTAGATGCTTGTGTATTTATAATTGTACTCTCTTCCTGATGGATTAACCCTTGTATCATTACAAAATATCCCTCATTGTCTTTGGTAACTTTTTTGTCTTAAAGTCTCTTGTTTATTTTGTCTGGTATAAGGATAGTTGTTACTGAAGCACCAGAGGTTTCAGTCTTGCTGCTCACTGCACAGAAAGCCAATCACTCAGTCAACTAGTATTGCCAGGGCAGAAGGCTTTCATCAGGTACTGCAACTTAGGAGATGGGAGATCAGTCTCAAATCCATCTTCCCGACCAATGAAAAGTCGGGGTTTAAATAGCAGGGAAGAAATGTAACTACATACAGAAAAACAGGAATTAGGGAGAGGTAAGAAAGAGGAATTGGTCAACAGGAAGCAGGTGCCCACTTAGGCATTTATGATGGGGTGAGGGGTCTGACATCTTATTGTGCAAATGTGGTACTCTGGTAAATTTCAGTTCTTTGCTGCTATCTGGAAGGCTCATGGTTGGTTTCCTGAGAAAGGAACTCACATAATACAAATGTAACTTTCTCAAATTTCAAGACTTGAGAGGGTCAATTTCTATGTTTATTCAAAAGAAACCGTAAACATCAGTTCCATGGGACAATTGGGTTGGTTTAAAAGTCACTTCAGCTTTCTCATGGTTGCTAATTACATAATTATGTTACATTGTATGTCAAAGGGATTTTGCAGACACAATTAAATTAATCTTAAAATAGGGAGATAAGACAGGTTGACTTACCTAATCACATGTGCCTTTAAAGTCTGGGTCTAGAGGTCAGAGGTCAGCGATCTAGCAAGTCAGAGAGATCCAAAACATGCTAGTGATTCAATGAGGAAGAAACTCTTCATTGCTGACTTTGAAGACGGTGAGTGTCACAAATAAATAAAGTCCTCAGTCCAACAACTTCATAATTAGTGCTACCTGCAAATATGAGCTAACAATACCTTTAAATGCATTTACAATATGTGGTGAACAAATTCACATTGTCTCTGCCTGCTCTTCTCTTTCGCTTTGTCCCTGCATGCTATGTCTTTCTGTCTAGATGAGGCGACACAAACACCAGGGCTTTGTGCAGCCTTCTCTCTTCTCTTGGAATGCTATGACTCTCTAGAACCAGATAGCACTGCTGAAGGTGGTTGAGTACAGGCTACTGATGGTGTTAGAAGCCATAGGCCCTTGATTAATCCAGGCTTTAACCTTCACCCACCTCAAAGTCCTAAGAGTCCTCCTTATAGCTTCCTATCAGATTTATACAGATTATTACCCACAAACCTTGCTCTTTCTTGGACCCCTAAGGCCAGGACTTCTAATATCTTCATCACTTTTGAGGTATCTGGTAACTCTTCTTTCTGGAGTTTCAGTTACTTCATCACCACTGCCGAGTGAAAAGTTACCACATGACCAGCCCAAAGCATCATATGCAAGTCAGGGCTAAACAGTAGCTGGATGGTATTTTGTCTAGATCAGCCATGGGTGTTGTCAAATGTGACAAGAATATTATTTCTAAAAGTTCTACACTACAGAAACACACTAGAACTTACTTCCCACATTAAAAGACAACCTGGAGGAGTGACTTTTATATCTCAGGCCAAGCATTAATCTTTCCAGGATTACAACTTGGCTCCCAAAGTTGCCAAGCTATTGCTTAGACAAATTATTTAATCTCCGTTATACCAAAATCATTGCCAGGTCCCCACAATTTGTACCTGGCTGCTACACCTCTATGAAGACTAGAATTACCTATGAGTAAGAGTCCAAAATAAGCTTTCTAAATCAATTCAGAGCTGTCTCACATAATTTTTGGTTTACAATTGATAACCATGAAGGAATTATGAGTGGAAGTGCCCTGACCTTTGACAAATCTCCTATCGGTGCTTGGTACCAACTTGAGCTATCTTTATTGCTCAAACCAATAGGACAATTTGCTGAGGCCTCAGAGATCCACCCCCTCCAGAGAATCCCTGATTTCCCAAAATTTGGTTGAGATCTAAGGTTTATTTTGCTGTACAACTCATTTTCTGGAGTTT